CTGTGCTTGTGTGAGCACATGCGTGTACACATACATGTAGAGCTACAGAGCAGCTCGACCACAGGCTGTGACTCCACTGTGAGGAGTGCAGCCACCTCTCCCAGCCCAAGGGACAGTGGTTACCTGAACAATGGGGAGGCATCCTCTCTATGAGCCAGCAGAACACAGCAAATAGAAGGTGATGTAAGCAGGTGAGAAAGGCACCAATGGCCCCTTTTTAGTTCTAAAAGCCAGAGGTCCCAATGAGGCTATGCTGCAATAGCTTCCCTCTGACATCCCTCTAAAACCATAATTCCACTTGACCCGTAGACAGATGGCACATCCCTGATGCCTTCGTCTAGACCCTCCATAAATCCCTACATAGCACGTTTTGTCTGCTGATTCTTGTTTCTTCCCACCTTCTAGAAAGGCACATGCCAGTAATTGTGGGGTTTTTTTTTTGTTTGTTTGTTTGTTTTGAGACGGAGTGTTGCTCCGTCGCCAGGCTGGAGTGCAGTGGCACAGTCTCGACTCACTGCAACCTCCGCCTCCTGGGTCCAAGCGATTCTCCTCCCTCAGCCTCCCGAGTAGCTGGGACCACAGGCGCGTGCGTACCACTGCGCCAGGCTAATTTTTTTTATTTTTATTAGAGATGGGGTTTCACCATGTTGGCCAGGATGGTCTCGATCTCTTGACCTCATGATCCGCCCACCTCAGCCTCCCAAAGTGCTGGGATTACAGGCATGAGCCACCGCGCCTGGCCTGGTTTCCTTTTTACACTGGCTCCCAAGAAGCTCTGACCCTGTCTCCATGTGACATTGCTAAGTTAACATTCACAAAGGGAGGTTGCTTCCCAGCTCCTTTCTCAACAACACTGTGTGCTGCTTTTGAGTCCATGAATTAATCTAACCTCATATCCCACTTTTGCAGGGTGCTGCAATAAATAGAAGATTCTGCTACCAGGAAAATAACATCACAGGAAAACAGCCACAGATTCAATGCACCACATACACAGAAAAGGTTCCTTCCTCACTGTGTCTTAAATGCCTGGGTGGCCACAAAGGCACCCTATGCTTGCAGACAAAGGACCCTCAGACAGTGTAATGTCATTAAGGTGACAGACACTCTTACAGTTATGTCATGGGATGTCAGCAAGTACAGCTGGCAGGGCTCATCACCACCTTCTTCCTGCCACACCAGGGAATGAGGCCCAAGGGTTTCAAAACAATCACACCCCCAGCCAGTGCAACTCCAGGAATTTTGAAAGACCCGGCAGCTCACCTCCATATAAAACATGCTGGGGTGAAGCTATTCTAGAACCTCTCCAAAGGGGTCATGGCCCTCAGGTTAGCTGCAGAGCAAAGGCAGGGATTGAGGGTAGGTACAGATGCCAGGTGAACTCCAGGTATGGGAGGGGCCTCCAGCACAGGACAGAGCAGAAGGGCAGTCAGGTCTGAGGGCAGATCACAGAGATGAGTGCAGGGGTGCTGACACCCTAGAGCACAGAAGCCTGTTAGTGTCTGGGTGACATGGGAGTTTCTGGAGTTTTCTGAGCTCCAGCGAGTGAGGGAGGGCAGAGCATCTGAGACAGAATAGGTACTCAATGAATGGTAACAAAGAGAAAACCAGAAACAGCTATCAGGTGACCTGGCCAGGTCGCACAAGGCACAGTGACTCCCCAGGTGATATCGGGGATGTCAGTATTATCTGAAAGCAGTTCCATGCCCATCCAAAATGCCAAGGATCACAGTGCCAGAAGTCTCTCAGCCCAGACAGGGTCAGGAAAGAAAAGCAATATTCTGTGCTTTCTGCCCTAAGAAGCCACACTGCGCAGGTGGAAACCCTCCCACCCAAGCTCCCCTAAACAGGAGGGTTGGCTTCTACCAGGCCACCCAGCAGGGAGACAGAAGGGTGCTCAGGCCGGGCTGGGCTGCACATCCATCCCTCCATTTACTCCTCCATGCCAGGAGGAAGAAAGCATGTTTAAGCTCCATGCAAAACAAAGATGTGAGGAAGCTGGGTGTCTTGGCATCAAAGGCCCTCTCATGACCCCATGCCACCACACAGGGAGAGCAACCAGAACCACAGGCATCACCAAGGCCACCCCCGACCGCACGCCCACAGGCTGATTCCTGCCCCAGCTCCAGCTCACAGCCAGGATTCCCACACTTCAGCTCATCAACCTTGCCGGAGGCTTTGGTAAAGCACTAGTCCCTGTAGGTCTGGGCTGGGGCCTAAGAATGTGCATTTCTAATAGGTCCCCAGCCAGTGTTGAGGCTTCTGGTCCAGGAACCACACCTGGAGGCCAACTGGTTAAGGAAATTTGAAAAGGCTACAAAGAGCTTAGTACAGAGTGGACTCATCCATGTTCATCTCAGGGAAATAAACACACATCTATTCACAGACACATAAACTGACATACATAACAGACTCACATCCATACATTCACACTCAGGTAACAATTTACATTACCCACATGTATATACACTGAGATGTAACAATTACATTCAAAACCAACACACAGACATTCATATACATATAACAATTACATACAAGATACATTTTTCACAGTCTAACATTTATTTCATAATATACATATACAAACATAAACAATTACATGACATATATATACTCACATGTAAAGACTACACACCTAATATACATATACACTCACATACTCAACACATGCATAGCACCTGTATGTGTTCATGTGTTGACGTGTGTGACATGTACATATTCATTTGTGTATATATAATTACATGTATAATGTGCATGTATCAGTTCTTATGCCTACAGCAATTACATGCATAATAGGCATGTGTATTCATATATATATTACTACACACAAAGCATGCATGTATGTATTTGTATACATATAACACTTAGGTACATAATATATACACACACACAGAGCAGCAGGGGAGTGGGCAGGGGCCAGGCTGGGCTAGAAGCGCCAGATCTCTTAGCGACCACGCCTGTGAAGAGGTAACAGGGAGGCGTGTCCTGATGCAGGTGGAGTGCTGTGCTGCAGGAGACTCAAGACTCCTCTCTGGGACCCTGGGCTCCAGCAGGCATAGTGACAACATCTAAACAGCCAGCATGGGCCCTTGGGGTTCCGGCCTGTCCCAGCTGTTGACAGCCCTACAACCTGCGTCTTTAGACGCAGCACACGGCTTCAGCCCTCTGGTGGCACTGATGTCCAGGGCTCACCAAAAAATCAGAAGGCCAGGGACTGTGTGCGAGGTGAGAGAGTCTCAGCTGCCACTGGGAAAACAGACTTCAGCCAGGGCCTCGGGACAGGCACACAGCTCCGGGGCCATCTGGGCCTCGTCCCCTGGCTCCCTGGGGCCTCTGACAAGCCTGAGGAAATCAGTCACAAACCGCAGCCTGTGGAAACCGAGCAAGTACAAAGCACACCCCACCACCTCGTCCCCCAGCAGTGAGTGACGCAGAAGAAAGGAGTGAGCGTGGACGTCAGGACTGCGGACATAGCTGAGGCCAGCAAGGACGGCCCGGGCGGGCAACAGCCCCGGATGGCCTCAGCTCTTGATGCTGCAACATATTTTTCATAGTTTGTGACTATTTTAGGTTTCTGAGTGAGATTTTTTAACCTTCCTATGGCCTCAAATGCATACTCTGCTTTTCCAGAAGCAAAGAGACACACCATGTGATAGCATTAAAAGGAGCATAATAAGGGCACCCCGCCGGTGGCAAGGCTTCTGTGACAGGCCTGACCCCGTAATCCCTCTTCTCTCATTTCATCCACAGCCAGGTTAGAGAGCACCCCTATGGCCACAGCATAAAGGAGAAAACCGAGGCTCCGGTGGGCAGGGGGCGAGGGCAGGGCCCAGCCACTCAAGTCATGAGGTTAGAGAGCCACCCCCATGCCCAATGGGTAAAGGAGGAAACCCGAGACTAAGGTGGGCAGGGGGCAAGGGCAGGGCCCAGCCACTGGAGCCAGGATCGGAACTTGACGTCATCAGAGCAGGGATGCTGCCCCATGGGTGCCGCTGGCCGAGCCTGGGGGACGATGTTCTACCGCACCCCACAAGACAGAGCAAGTGCCATGTCTGGAGGCCACCAGGATCACGGCCCAGAAAGCCTGCCTAACAGCCCGGCAGAACACCCAGATTCTGTGTATGGCGAAGCTGTGGGGAGCCAAGGGCAGGAAGCCCCGTCCTATTTGAGAAGTCCGGAGAACACCCCTGATGGATGCCCAGGAAGAACCACGGGAGCACCTATTTCCCTCCCCCACCGGAGGGGCCGGGACCTGCACACCCTTCCCTGGCAACAAGAGGCAGCTTCCGGTTTGCCTTCCAGGGAGTCACTTCTGATTCGCAGGGAGAGAAGAGGGTGCTATGTCCTACTGTCTAGGCACAGTGAACCCTTCTGGTATCTTGCAAGCTGCTAATAAGCCCTGAGAAACAAGGCTCCACCCCCTCAGCTCCAAAGGGTGGAGGCAAGGAAAACATCAGGAGCTACCACGCCCTTCCAAGGAGCTGCATTTGAAAAGCAGACAGCAATTTAAATTTGCCTAATAACAAGCCAAAGGGAACGTGCTATTATGTTTACCTCCAATCTGATTTGAACACACACACCCAGTATCTGTCAGAGCTGGATGTCAGTCAACAAACCACTGCACCACACTGTCCACAGCCACCCAGCGACCCAGACACCCTCCCTGGACAGGTTTCTCTCACTAAGACAACACACTTGTGCTGTCTTCACTTGAAAGCCAAGGAAACTCAGGCCGGGGAGATTCGCCCCAAAGGTAACTATTATCGATAGAACGGCAGCCCCCACAAAGGCCAGGGGATCCTCTTCTCTAAAAAGCCATGCAAATGGCCAGTGCAGCCTGGTCGAAGGTCCTCAGAGAGAGCCTTGTGAACGAAAGGTACAGGTCAAAGGGAGGGCATGGATCCTACAACAGGAAGCCAAAATATCTCCAAATAGGGCACAGCTGCAAGAGACTTAGTCCCACAGGATGGAACAAGGGAGCCAAAGAAATGCAAAGGGCTTACCTGTTCCAGAGGGACTTGTACACAGCAGGGAATCACCACCTTTCGAAGAGAGAAGAAACAGATAAGCAAACGGATTCTCCAGAAAATATTAGCATAATAATCAAGCCTGGCTCCCAAAGGCTGAACGAAACAGTCTCTAACCTCGCTCCTGACCACAAAGCTGTAGCAGTTCAAGACCGAGGAGACCTGGAGTTAAGAGAGTCCGGGGTTTTGTTTACTTTTGGAAAGTCCCTGTCCTTTTTGCTAATGTCATGGAAATCGTGGGGCCTCCCCCTCAAGAAAAATGCAAATCACTCATAGATACGAAATGTATCTTTGACAAAGAGCTGGTAGACCTCAAGGATGGAAACTTCTGAGTCGGTCCGTGCTTGGGGAGCTTGGGAGCGGGGCCCAGAGAAGGAGGCAGAAGGCTCTGTCTGGTGGTCTCCAAGCCCCGACTCCTCCCATCCTTACCTGGGGCGGGTATTCTCTTCCCCAAGGGGCCACTTTTTCTTTCCTTTTTTTTTTTTTTTTTTTTTTTTTAAGATGGAGTTTAGCTCTTGTTGCCCAGGCTGGAGTGCAATGACGCAATCTCAGCTCACTGTAACCTCTGCCTCCCAGGTTCAAGCAATTCTCCTGCCTCAGCCTCCTGAGTAGCTGGGATTACAGGCACGTAGCACCATGCCCGGCTAATTTTTGTATTTCTAGTAGAGACGGGGTTTCCTCACATGGGTCAGGCTGGTCTCGAACTTCTGACCTCAGGTGATCTGCCCACCTCGGCCTCTCAAAGTGCTAGGATTACAGGAATGAGCTACCACGCCCAGCCAGGGACCACCTTTTCTTGAACTATTTCTGCAAGTAGAACTAAAAACAGTCTGAGTATGGCAATGTTGACATGATTATTCTGTTCAGCACAGGAGACGGGAGAGGAGGCTTTGACTCTACCACAGTCTCTGCAGACAGAGCGCTCCCTGGGAACGACACAGAAGGCGAGGGAGGCAAGGTGGCTCAAACACAGTCTGGAGAGCCGTAAGTTACACGCACAGGGAGCCACTGGCCCCGCAGCACAAAGACTCCACCTTGGGCAGGATCTCCACCATTTACTAGCCTCAGGACCTTGGCCTTTGATCTCTCTGGGCCTCAGTTTCCACATCTGAAAACGGCAGGTAACAACAGTGCCTCCCAGGCAGGGTCACTGTGAGGAATAGGAGAAATGGTGCATGAGGAGCTCAGAAGAGTGGCCGGTCCAGGGCAGGGGCCCCACTCACAGGCACAGAGCTCTCCCTAAGGAGAGGGGCTAAGGGGACTCTGGGGGCCACTCAGGAGCCAGGCGCCAGCAAACAAGATTCAGCTCCCTGTGAGCGACCTTACTCCTTAGCTTCCTCCTGGCACCGCCCACTCCAGATCTCGGGCACCTCCCTTCTCAAAGAGTTGTCTGAAAATGTGCAACGGAAGGAGAAATCTCAGAAATCTGACTAATTGTCCTTGTGGTTTGGGGCGGGCAGCGGCGTGGCCTTGACTCTTGCCAGGACAACTATTTATAGCCTCTTGCTTATCTTAGGCAGTATGGTCCTCAGGGAGTATGTGACACACGGCCGTTCCTGTGTCTGGGACACATAATTACTCCACCAGGGCTCTGACTCAGACGGATGTCTGGGGCAGGGGTCCTCTCTCAGGGCCCCTGGCCCCACCATGAACCGGCTGCCTCCTAAACACCCACCGCAGCTGGCCAACAGGAATACGCCTTTGCCATTTGTGTGTCCTCAGCGACATGTGTGTACACTGGCATTTGATGAATGGATGAGAGAATAAGTAAGCAAATGTATGCAAAGCAAAAACGACAAAATGGCTTTGGAAACAGAGAGTCACAGACAAAACCTTACGGGATGGTGGAGAGCCCGTGGTTAACAGTGTGGCTCATCTCACCCCAAGCATGGTATCCGCTCAACGTACACATGCATCTTGTTGCCTCGCCACGCAGGCAAGAAATGTGCAAAGAACCAGGGCCCCTGTCTTGAAAACTCACTATCCGCATCCCTGCAATGGTTTATCATCCATGACAAAAATAAATGAGCTATGAAGGCAGGAAAATGCACAGAGGAAACTTAAATGCATATTACTAAGTGAAAGAAGCCACTCCGAAAAGGACATACACTGTATGATTTCAACTCTGTGACATTCTGGAAAAGGCAAAACCGTGGGACAGCGAAAAGGTCAGTGAAGGCCAGGGATTAGGAGGGAGAGAGGAACAGGCAGAGTGCAGAGGCTCTTCAGGGCCATGAAACTATTCTGCCTGATACTATAATGATGAGAGCATCTAATTCTGCATTTGTCTAAACCTATAGGACGTCAACACCCGAAGAGAATCCTAATGCAAATCAAGGGATCTGGTTACTAACATTGTATCAATATTGGCTAATCAAGCGTAACAACTGTACCACAAGAATGCAAGCTGTTTACATATGAGAGGGAAGAGTATGTCCAATTTTTGTATATATCTAAAACGCTCTTAAAAATAAAGTCTATTTTTCAAATTTATTGTCTGGAAGCATGCGTTTGTAGAGAGAATGAAAGAAAAGCCCCATGCAATGTCAGAAACTTGAGGGGGGATGGTTATTATTATTATTATTTTTTTTCATAGAGACGGGGTTTCTCCAATGTTGGTGAGGCTGGTCTCAAACTCCCGACCTCAGGTGATCCACCGACTTCGGCCTCCCAAAGTGCTGGGGTTACAGGCATGAGCCACCACGCTCTGCCAGACACTTGAGTTTTAAAGATGCCAGCCACTTTAAGATTTGGCCCAGAAGCTGGGCCTGTGTGTTCCCACATCCCTCTGTGACCAGATGGGTTGCAGTAACTGCCCACCACCTGGCCTGGCCCCAGGGTATCCTACAGAAAAGGAGAGATGAGCTCCGTGGCTTACATGGCTAAGGGGCTCTGGAAGTGTCACACCTAATCTTGTTGAACTGCATCCATCACTTGTCCTGCACATTTTCACTGACAGCCTTCTCCTGCCAGGATTTCATTCGGAAATGAAGCGAACGGGTCCTCAACCCCATACAGCTTACGGCTCAAGTAATAGAAACAGCATAAAATGAATAGTTTTAAAGAAAATGAGCTGGAGGAACAGTGGGGCGAGCAGCTCCCAGGTTGCACAGAGCAAATGGCAGGCAGCCTTGCCCTCTGCCTCCACACCCACATCCTAGCAGACTTGCTCCTCTCTTCCGAGAGAACCAGTCACAGCCCCTACTGTGTGTGCACACGTGCTGTTACAAAATGCAGACAAAAATGTCTCAGGAAAGACCTTTTATGAGAGTGAATTTGCAAATAAAAATGCACACGAAGCACCAATTACATGAAGCACTCCTCTAGCGGCAAAGAGGAGTTACCTGTCAATAAAGAGAAAAGCCATCGCTTCTCTAAGTGCAAACAGCTAATTTAGCAAAAACCGTGACCAGTGAACACAAAGGGCATTTGTTCCTTCAGTGCGGCTAAAGCCATATTCCAGGACGGGAAGTCCCTGAAAAGAGATTGTATTTCCATCACACTTTTCCTCTCTTACACGAAGGCAGGTGGCTGAGCACAGACTTAACCATGGGATGAGGCGGCCGGGTTTGGGATGCTCACGCCGGTCTGCTGCTCAGCACCAAGGAACATATGGGGGCTGTGCGGCAGGGAGATCGGCTGCATCTGCTGGATGCTCAGGTGTCACCTGCTGTTCTTCAACCTCAGCAGAGGTGGAAGCGCAGTGCTTCCGTGGGCAAGCTGCATCCCTGTCAGAGAGCACACAGTTCTCCGCTGTGCCTGCCCTGCTGATCTACAGGCTGGCCCGCCTCCCACGCGTCAGGAGGATATCTCCTGTAGAAGGAGCCAGGTAAGGGAGTGAGGCGCACTGGCTTGCTCTCCTCACCTCGAACTCCAGTTCTGATCACACATTCCCCAGCACTGTGGGGTTCTTTCACGCTTCTCACTGGACAAGGGAGAAGCACTGTGGGTAGGGGCCAACTCCAGGCTGGCTGGGCCTTCCTCGGCACAAAGAAGCTGACACTTCTTTAGTACTTAGGTGGGCGTAGTTTTAAGGGCAAGAATTTCCCAGTGTCATGCCCCCGTCCCAACTCTCTCCATCTGGGAGATTTAATGGTTTATGTTTAAATTTCACAGGTGCAGGAAGAAACTAAGAGTCAATCATCCCAGTGGAAGTTTAAAGGAACTCCTTTCATTGGCCAGAGTAGTTCCCACATGGGAAGGTGGGAATTTCTCCCAGGATAAATTCCCCTGCTCCTTCACCCACACTGGATTTCCAGCTCTCTGGAATCCCCTCCCACATGGTGGAAGCTCCCTTTCCCCTCTGGAATCACCTTCCACACTCTTCATGGAAATCTTTCTCTTCTCTTTTCTCTACCTTAAATAACATCATCTTTCTGCAACACTTCTTTGGGTCCAATACTCACTTTTACAAGCATACAGCACCTCTGCAGTGGTCCCACTGCTTATTCTTTAAGAGAGTGGAGGCCGGGCGCGGTGGCTCACGCCTGAAATCCCAGCACTTTGGGAGGCCGAGGTGGGTGGATCACAAGGACAAGAGATCGAGACCATCCTGGCCAACATGGTGACATCCCGTCTCTACTAAAAATACAGAAAGTTAGCTGGGCATGGTGGCACGTGCCTGTAATCCCAGCTGCTCAGGAGGCTGAGGCAGGAGAACTGCCTGAACCCAGGAGGTGGAGGTTGCACTGAGCCGAGATCGCGCCATTGCACTCCAGCCTGGGCAACAAGAGCAAAACTCCGTCTCAAAAAAAAAAAAAAAAAAAAAAAAGAGAGAGAGTGGAGACCAAGAACCCACAGCATTCTCTCAGGGGAGCTGTGCCTCACCAGCACCCAAGGAAAAACCCGGTTACATTAACATGCCAGTCTGACTCATTCACAGGGCTGAAGACAGAGAGAACAGCCACCCAACGCTGCAGGGCTGGAGGGTCCCAGCACACTGCATCCCTGAGCCTGCCCTGCAGATGGCAACCAGGAGCCTCTGAGCTGCTCCTGGGCCCATCAGTGCACCACGA